AAATTCAAATAACGAAGTTACTTCGGATAAGATGCACTTTAATTGGGGTTTTCACAACGGTGTCGTAAGTGTCGTATTGTTGTATGTCGCAAACTTTAAACGCCTAAAAATATATATTAAGGGGGTTCGCAAAGTACCATCAAAGTTATATTATGAATTGTTGCAGTGTTAAAAATAGTTGGTTGCCGTTTCAAGTCCTCTAAACATTTGTTTAAGCTTTTAAAGTTTACGAAATACAAAAATACTACACTTACGACACCATTGTGAATGCCTCAAATGAGTTTAAAAAAATAGTAACCAGAGTTATGCAACTTTGATTTACCCCTCCTCACAAGCATGTCTAGTACTTTCAAAGAGACACACCTTTTAATACGTTCATATGTATTTCTAAATGTGAAGTACAAATAGTACCGTTCAATGGGGTTTGCAGATGACCTCAAAAACAGAATTTTTAAGTTTTTGTTCGGTACACAAAATTTCATGATCAATTGAATCTGCTAAAGCCTAAATTGGCATACATCAGCTCTGGTTTGTCTTGGTTGGCTAATATTATTTTTATGCAAGAAGTATTTTGCCTTTGCTGTAGGTTTTCTTGAAGAAATAAATTTACGAGCATTTATTTATTGAGAATTGCAAACTGATGTAAGCAATTTTGATATTTTTATGAATTTTATTATTCATGGTTACTATGCCAAAAGCTGTTTTGCGAGAACGAACACATTTACACATATGTACTCAACTTTATTTTCAGTTCAGAAGCCTAGAGAAAGTGGAGAATATTTTCCGATATTTCAAATATCGAAACAAAATAGTGTATCGATATCGTATCGCAACACCTGATGTCGATATAAATTAACCGATAGGTTAAACAACGATATTGATATATTGAATATCGTATCGGTATCGCGCATCCCTAAGCTGTACCCTGCCACGCTTTGCTGTGGCATATTCCAGTTACATGGATGATAAATGATTAACGAAACAAAGCATACCTTTCATATAAGATTTATTTAGTACTTCTGTGCATAATATTTGTGGGTTTTCCATTCTCTGCATGGATTTGAAGGATATCTGGTTTGCCGACACGGGAATTGCAATCTTATAAATTGAAATGGTGTATCGTTCGGAATCATGGGAATTCTTCACCTTTAAAGGGCTACGCTAAAATCTTTGCTTACACTATGTTCTTCATCAATTTCTTATCTGCGAGTCGCGTGCCGTTGCAGAGCTTTGGCTGATTAATATTCCGACACATGATCATTGGCACACCTTTTTTTCAATTTCAGTATGTGGGATCATCGCTAGAAAATCAATCGAGTTCACAAATTCCGTTGGATAATTAACTGCTTCATCCGTTGCCACAACGGTGTTTATCGACGTAAATGTTATTTCCTCACTTTGAATGCTGGATTGAATATTATTATTATTGAACATTAGTGGTATTCACCAAAGTGAGCAAGGGGCGTGGCAGTCTGGTAAATGAGCAGATTAGCTCAAGCACCAACTGTTGTCAATACCACTATTATTTAGTTGGTAGACATCCTTATTCTTCGCAGAATGAATATCTCGTTCACTGAGCCAATCGTGATTCCTATAATACATTTTCTTAATTAAGAGACATTCTTTCGATCAGTTCTCCTTTCGTACTTCTAAGTCAGAAAAATTATCTGGCAATAAAATTCGTCTTAATCTCTCATTGACTGGTAGCTTTCCGTTCCCAATGTCCGTAATTATCGCGATAATACCTCGGCTGCAGTGTATGTATGTTCGTCTTGCCACACTGTTGACTATTTCAGGCAAGCATTTATCCCTCCCGCTAGTGTTAATCGAGAAATTACAGACAATGTTTTCGTAAAATCTCCTGCGAACAATATTAATGCATTCCCGAATGGTTGAACGTTTCCGCGCAAATCTCGCAACAATCGATCAAGAACCTCATGCGATTTTTTACGTACCGGATGTTCTGGAAATATTGCACGTGGGAGTTTCGATGATTTAAATGTTCAATGGCAGCTTAAGAGCTGAATCAGCAGTGCTTCCACCTGGTAACAGTGTCGCAGCAATTCCAGACCAAGCGATAGCTAAGGTTATGTAACATTTTGATCGAACCGTTTCCAGGATCAATCTGATAAGGAATATTTTCCTAGTTCCTCCTGGTGTATCCAACTCCGTCATTTATCATATGCATATTCTTCTTCTACTTTGGCTTTGTAACCGCCTAAGCCATTTTGGACGAGCTCGACAAAGAACGCCAGTTATATCTCTCTGTGCCAACTTGATCTCTCCATTGCAGTGGGCGCTCCCTATTCCTCTGCTCCCACCAGCGGATTGCAAGTTGAATTCTGGAACTTCGGTTCCTATTGGAACGAAATGTCAAAGCCAGCGGAGCCGCTGTATTTTCATTCGCTGCACTATGTATATTTCGTTATTAATCTCATACAACTCATCGTTCCATCGTCTAGGGTAATCCCCATCGCCCACGCGTAGAAGCCTGTAAATCTTCCGTAAGATCATTTTCTCGAATACTCCAAGAGCTGCCTGATCGAATGTTGTCATTGTCTAAGCTTCTGCGCCATATAACAGCTCGGGCATGATGAGTGACTTATAGAGTGCGGGTTTTGTACGTCGAGAGAGGACTTTCCTCCGGAATGTGCTACTTAGTCCAAAGTAGCACTTGCTGCCAAGAGTTTCGACAAAACGTTTAACCTTTTATTTTTACGTATATCGATCAGAAAAGAACCAAAAGAGCTTCCCGGTTCTGTTTGTTTAAATTTTTTATATGTTGACGATTTTTACATGCAAATAGCTATTTTTGAGAGCCAAACTGACGATTTCTCACTTCAGTGACCTGACAACACTGCGGCTCGAGACTACTCGATGCTGGCCCTGCGGAAAATGTATATCACTAAATATAAGCTAACTCTAAGTTGATTAGGAAGGAGCTATAAGTCACTTATTATCTGTATATTTTCTTTGACGAAAGCTAACTATATTTCTATGGCAATGGCCGCGAAATAGTCATTTCCATTTGATGTCACTAACTTGCAACTATGTAACCACTTTTGGGCATAAAATATCAATAGGAAAAACAAAATATTTTTATTTATTTTTTGTTTTGTTTTTTATTTATTTATTTTATCATATTTCATATTTGTTTACATATTCTGCTGTAGGTGGTCCCATATTCGAACTCTGTCAGACATAACCTCAAAATGATAATACGAAATTTCGATCTTCCTTTTATTTGTCCTCAATTCGAAAAAGTATTTGCTAAGTGCAGGATATCTAAATAGAAACGCGATTAAAGAAAACTATCTCGAGCTTTACACCTGCATTACTTGTCCACTTGTTTCAAGTTAGCTTTTTGTAGCTAACTACAAGTTATATATTTTAGAGAAATCCCGCAAAAAAGCTACCTCCAAGTAGGTTATTTTTTGTTAAGTGATAATATTTTTCTGCAGGGGGTCTAAGGTACATACAAAAAAATACACATACATACACACTAGGGATGCCAATCCCGGGATTCCGGTGTTTTTGACGTCCCGGAAATCCCGCGATTTGCTTGCATTAATCCCGGGATCCCGAAAATTTTGAAATATCGAATTGATAGTAACAACTTGTTGAAGTATGATTTTGTAAAATGCCGTTTTGACTGCAATTAACAAAAAGCTTGAAACTGTACTTTTAAATTGCAGTCTGAGCCTTTTTTGAAGAAGATTTCAATGAATTTACTCATAGCGTCGCTATTGTAAACGAAACAGAGAGTTTTTTTAGGAAAGTTAGATAATTTTTTAGATCAATCTACTCAAAACTTCCTCAAATCGAAAAACTTATAATTTGACCGACGTGCTGGAAAAAGATGTTCAAATATTTTGTAATGGAGGGGATAGGGGTCATTATCTTCAAATGGATTATGTCTACCTTTTGACAGTTCAGCCTAAAAGTGTTGATGCCGAAATATGTTTTTCATCAGTAGGTTTTGTATGTAAGAACTGAAGGTCAAGCTTAGAAGACTCCGCATTGAATGCTTTGCTGCTCTTACGAAAACATTTTAAGTGCAATATAATAACAACAACAGCAAAAAAAGGTGTGTTTGTTTTCAACCAGACCCAACTACCAACATGTAAGTCGACCCGCTGAATCCGATTCTGAGATCCGTTTGACTCGTACACCCTCAAAATTTCTAGTAAATTGCGAAAAAAATGGCAAAAAATTCTCCATTTGCAATTTCTTTATAGAGTAGAATAAACATGTTTAGAGAAATTGTTTTTGTATATTTTTGTTTTATGTTTTTTTATTAATCGTCACTTTATATAGTACCTGGTATTTACATTATTATTTGTGATGTATGCGTTCCTCAATCACATGGTTTTTTAAGTTGCTAAGTCCCAATTTAAACATTGTGCAGGAGAGGAAAAAACTTCGTATAGCCATTTTCTTCACGTATTTCGCAAAACTTGGAATACAACATTTTGCCTGTTTAAAGCAAAGCAAAACTCCATACGAATCGATACTTATTAAAAGATTTCGAACTTTTTTGGCCTTATCGAATTTTCGGAGCTTTTTTTGGCCTTAGCAAATTATCCTTTCATTTAATATAAACGAGAACACATAAAACAAGGACCTTTACCCTTTTCGAAACGATGCAATTTTAATGTATCTAGCCTCCTATATATGATTTTTCATTAAAAGTGAAGTTAGCAACTTTTCACTCTAAGCTAGCGATATATGAGTTTTACAATCAGTTTCTCGTAAATTTTAAATAGTTTTATTTAATGGTATGTTTAAATGCTTTCAGATATTGAATTTTTACTCATATTCATAAAACTTATGCCCCAATTTGACCGGGTTTACTTAAAAAATATCCCGAAATCCCGGGATCCTAATTTTCCTGATATTTTGGCATCCCTAATACACACATATGTATGAATCGCTCACCGAGCATACTTACACGAGTGTTCGTGCACATGTTTAACGTTTGTGGCTAGCTTAATACGTACGCATAATCCGCTATCGAGGTTGGATAACGACCATCTGGCCATAACATGAAGCACACAGTCCGCGATTTACCATTATAGTATCTGTAAGAAATGAGATTAAAAAATTATTTTATTATCTCTAGCTAAACAATTTCGTCCAATATAATAAGTGCGGTCAAACGCCCTAATGCAATAATTTTGAGCGCATTTTTCTCTGAAAGGACACCAAAACGTAAACGCCTAAGAAGCATCTACCTACTTTACAATTTCAGAAATGAAAATTTCATGGTGTGAGTGCTAAAGAAAGAATATGGGCCATTCTTTTTTAAATCGGAAGGATTTCAAAAAACAAAATATTTCATGTCTCCGATTCGCTTCAAATTTTTTATGGGTTCTATACATGAAATATTTAAGATGGCACGTATTGGAGGAACTTTTATTATTTTTCTTTCTTCGTAGATATAATCTGTCAAAATTTGGATCTTTTCGTGATTCTGACTATTCATGTACTTTTTCAAATCGTTATATCTCGGGTTCTGCTCATACTTAACATTCCTTTATGTNCAAAATTTGGATCTTTTCGTGATTCTGACTATTCATGTACTTCTTCAAATCGTTATATCTCGGGTTCTGCTCATACTTAACATTCCTTTATGTATATAAGATGGTCATGATTGTCCTAAAGCTAACTTAGCTATTAACAGTTGAACTTTTTGAAGTTGATTTGCATAGTTAAGACCAGTAAATTAGGAATTTAAGACTATCGTAATCTGATGTATTTTGGAACGAATTTCCGTCATCCCTTGTGTTTCGGCGTTGTGCCATCTTCAGTGTCATTTTTCGTTCTCCCAAAGAAACGAAACGAAAAATGACACTGAAGATAGCACAACGCCGAAACCGGTTTATCTCCAAACCAAATTTGATAAGGGATGACGGAAATTCGTTCCAAAATACATCATACACCCACCCTGTCGGAAACAACAACAACCAAAAAGGAACTATCGTAATTTATATATTAATACGCTAACATAAATTTTGTCTCCGTTCGTTTGGCGATTTAACCTAGCAGAGTTTTTATGGTTTAACAATTGGTTGAAAATTACGGCCAAACCCGTCGTTTAAACATTTTCGAAATGTGTATAGATGTTGCTGCAATATGTTCAATTTGACATGTTTCGCCTATTGTTTCACTACAGCTTTCAAATTAAGCTTTGAAATAAAGATAAATATGAAGATGAAGAAATAAATGATAACGATGAAGTAAAAAAAAGAAGGCAAAAGTGAAGACAAAGACGAAAATGGAGACAATGGCAGATACATAAGAATTAGGGTAACTGAAAGGGTAAGAATATTTCTTTAGCGCCAGTTGGTTGGTTGGGTGAAAATTGTCAAATTCAAGGGGAATAATGCACATGGAAATGGTTCTCAGCGGTTTAGCGGTTTGAGAATAAAAACAAAAACAAAGATGCCTAGAGGTACAGGCAAAACCGAAGATCAAAGTAAATTAAAACACTTTAAGGTAAAGGTGAAGAGGAATATGCAAAAATAAAGATAAATATGAAGAAAAGGATGAGGATGAAGATCGATATTGTTATCGATATAAAACTCGATATTTTTATCGATATGATAATCGATATTGCTATCGATAAAATAATCGATATTGTTATCGATACTGTTATTGATTAAATAACCGCTATTGTAATCGATATAATAATCAATATAATAATCGATATTGTTATCGATACAATAATGGATATTCTTATCGGTATAATAATCGATTAAACAATTGATTTTGTTATCGATTTAGTAATTTATATGTTAACGGTAGGTACAATAATCGCTACTGATGATTTTACAATCGTTGTATTTTTCTATATGTTTATGGATATTGTTACCGGTATTTTTATCGACACAGTTATCAACAGGGTTATCGATACACTAATCGGAACATGGAATGTGATCACATTACATGATATCACATCACATTTTATCACATGATATAAAGAGACATCACATAATATGATATCACATCACACGATATCACGTGACATGACATTATATGATAGGACATCACATTGTATGGCATGACATCAACTGACTTGACATCACATGATATGACATCGTATGACATGACATGGCATTACATGACGTGGCATCACATTATATGACATCATATGGTATGACATCATATGACATGACATCGCAGGATATGATAACACATGACATGACATCCTATCACATCACATAAAATCACGTCACATCTTATCACGTCATCGCATCGCATCTCATCTCATCTACGTGAAAAGAAAAAGAAAAGGACATAAGCCAAGATGTGAAAGATAAAAACAAAGATGAAGACCAAAGTAAAGTTACCGATTTCAAAACCAAAAACTCCGTTGGAAAGGTAATTTTCTGTAGATGAGGAGAGTTTTTATAGTTTCGTAATTGGTCGAAAATCGTCGTTTAAAAAACTTAAACTTTGAAATAAAGATAAATATGAAGATGAAGAAACAAGTGATAACGATGAAGACAAAAAAAAGGCAAAAGTGAAGATAAAGACGAAAATAGAGATAAAGGCGAAAATGGAGACAATGAGAAATACAACAGAATTAGGTTAATAGAGTTTAAATTTTCCGATAGGAATCGAAATAAAATCAGCCATAAAGGTTACTGAAATTTATCGAATAATCGAAGTTTATAATTATCGAAATTTATCCATACTTATTAAGTTATCGCAACGTATCTAATTATTCAAACTGATCAATGTTTACTTAGTTGTCGAAATTTATAGACACAGAAACTTAGTTGTCCAAATTTACGGTTAGTTATCGAGCTATAAAAACGTGTGGGATTAACGAAATTTGTCAAGTTAAAGAAATGTATCAAGTTATCGATATTTATTGAATTATCATTATTTATAGACTTAACGAAATGTATCGAGGTGTCGTAATGAATGGAGTTCTTTCAACTTACAGAGTTATCGATAATTATTGATCTACTGAAATTGGTTGGTTCAACGAAGCGAAGTTTATGGAACTTTCAAAATATATCGGTTTATCGAAAGTTATATAAGCTTATCGATTTATCACTGCTTATCGAATTTAATCATCTTAACAGAGTGTAACGAGTTATCAAAATGTTTAGATAGTTTTCGAAAAATATGGAGATGTCAAAAGCAAAAATTTATAAAGGTATCCAAAGTTTTTACATTTTTGAGTTACCGAAATTTATGGAGCCATCGAATTTCACAGTTATCTAAATTGGTCGATTTAACGAATTTTGTTGAGTTATCGAATTTTAGTGTTCTTGACTTTCAACATTGATTCATATCAAATCATTGAAGTTTATCGATAAACTTGAATGTATCATGTCAATTCCAAGTCCTGTCAAAGTCCTCCAAAGACCTTCTCAGATAAAAAAAGTTTAGTTACGTTTTAGCAGAAGATTTTCCGGTTAGTTAATTTGTACCGTATAAGTTTTGCTACGTGTTAAGTTAGAAAACCTCTCCAAGGCTTCTAAAACTAGAAAAACTGTCGAATTTCGACAGTAACTGGCACTCTAGTCTTTGTTTAATTCACTATAAAAAAATAAAATTTCAAAAATATGGGCGTGTTTCAAAAAGTATTTTAGCAAAAATTTAAATTTGATTGCGGATTCCAATCACGGTTGCCAACCGTCCCGTTTTCGGCGGAACGGTCCCGGATTTAAGAGCTACATATTTCCCGGTCCCAGTACAATACCTTTCAGAATGCAAAATGTTTGGCAAGAAAAAAATTTAGACATCTCGTTGTAAAAAATTTAGAACTCTTTAAATATTTACATTTTACATAATATTGATATTTTTCTATTTAGAGTCCGACCAAGGTACATTGAACAGGTAGTATCAGTAGAGCAGCTGATTTGATTTATTTTCAAATTATTTGGTCTCGAAAATGTCAAATATATTTAATTTTTTCTCACAAAAATTCTGAATTGTTAAAATCCATTTGCATGTGAAACCTTTTTCCATACAAAACAAGCGATTGAATAGCTGCTTTTGGAACGTTCGCCCAACTCAGCAGCACAACCGCTGATTACTGGCCCTTGTAAAGGATGGATCAATGCTTCGAGAAGCAAACAAATTTACTAGGAAAGAAAGTTGCATCAATTTTTATTTTTTCCAATTTCAATTTTTTATTTTTTATAATTTTTTGTATTTCACATGGCACGCTTTGATTTAGAAGAAAAAATTCAGAACAGTTTTTGACACTTTCGATACCAGAAGCAACAACAAAATACACGCAAATGTTGTTTTTGCTCTACTGATACTACCTGCTTAATGTGCCTTGAGTCCGACCGATTCCAATATTTTTTTTCAGATACCGATGCCGATGCCGATTGATCGGCTTATGGGGAAAGAATTGGTCGATGCTTATGCCTATGCCAATTCCATAAAAAATTACAAATAAATGTATTCATTCATAAAATCAGTTAATTTAACGGAGTTAACAAAGCAAAAGAAAACGAGTAATTGAATTATTGGCTTGTTATGCAACATTTTTAGGTCCCAAAAACAATTACATTTTACATATTCCATTTACTAATCGACCCCTGTGGTCAAATGGACTAGTTGTAAACTACCTCGCAACTAGTATGAACCACATGCCCAATTCAGTCAGCCAACTATCTTTTTTCCATGCAATCAACTGGTATTTTTAACATGGGGATGTCCTACGAGATGGCAATTGTCAGATTTCGGTCAGAAATATACCTGTCTCATACTAGTTCAAAATAGACAGAAAAATACTAGTCCAATTATAGATCAAAACCACTACTTTGGAAGAAAAAAATAAAATGAATTACTGAATATACAATAAAAAACTTTTGATTAAGTACGCTTTAATATATTACACATTTTTATTAAGCAGCCATTGATTTGCCAATAACACTGTAGGTAAATTTTTAGGTTTTGAAATATCACAGCTAAACCGCCAAACACGTAAATTTAATTTTGGCCTCTAGATTATGATGGTGTTTTCAGGAAATCCGTATCACATCAAAATTTTGAGATATTTAGGGGGAAAGTCTTAGAGTTCTGAAAGTGAATTTTTCGTCGTTTAAAA